AGAGAATTTTGTGGTTCGGGATGAGCACAAAATTACTCAAGAAGAAGCAGAAGTCTTCAGTTCGCCCCTGTCCCCCGGGGTGCGGTTTCTCGCTTCACGAAAAGGACCAGCACGAGGCTTGCCCGGTCTGTTTGGGGATCGTCCACGCTCGTAGGGCGTTGGCAGAGCCCGAAGCGTGTGCATTTTGCCACCTGCTTCGACGCTCAACCCTGGAGAGACGGCTTAAGTTCTGAGAAAGTGCTGGGCGAGGCTGCAGTCGCGAGGCAGGACCCTCTCCTCTCAGAGTCTAGTAACCCGGTTCCGTCCGAGTCTGATGAGGAGGAGCCCTCGGTCGAAGTCCCCACTTCCAGCTGGGCAGACCAAGTGGAATATAAGGAGGGGTTAGCCGANGACGTCATTCAAAACTTCGCCTTCTGTTTGCTGATTGGCCCAGGTAAAATAAACTACAAGCAGACACTGCGCAGAAAATTGACGTCCTGTTCTCTGATTGGCCCGGCTAAAAATCTGCCAGCGAAATCCATCTCATTGGGAGAAGTCCCAGATGGAGCAGTGAAGGGAAACTAGAAATGAACGGAGCTGAGTAGGAAGGCAAGGGCCAGGCTAAAATCATAGTAGTCCTAGTAGGAATTCACATCGCTCACCGCCTTTTGTGCCAAATTTTTAGACAAGGACAAACTTGTGATGGGAACTTGTAGCCGTTTGGGTCAAACCTTGAAAATAACATCACCAGATGTGTTATTGCTAATTGGTGTGTTTTAAGCAAAGTGTGTAATACCTTGAATGTAGGAAATTTTCAGCTAAACATCTGTATAGTTGAGTAGTAGCCATTTTTTGTTGCTTGATAAAGTTGCTTATGTGTGACAAACAAGTTGAATATGATTGAGTTAGGAGAGGTTCATTAAAGTGGTCCGTGACATATTTTGCTTATATAAAAGACAAATGAAAACACAGACAGGCATTACTTGTCTTCTGCTTTTCAGTAGGGCTGGGTTAAAAAAATCAATTTAATCAATCTGGATCAATTCATAAGTCATGAGATAGATTTTCCCCCACGGGTGTTGTGTGCGATGAAGATGCGCGTTTCCGTGTTGTGTGTCACTCCTGGCTTGCTGTAGGTTTACAGCCGGTTGACGGTCAGTGCTAATGTTAGCTCCCAACAACAAGTTGTCTGGGGCAAAACAAAAGAAACTAAGGAATCACTAACATTACCAGATGAACAGAGATTGTCTCAGTTGAACAGAGACCATGACAACTTTTGTTTGTAAAGATTTGCGCACGGACGCGGTAGCGGGAAACGAAGCTTCGAGCGGCTCGAACCAAAACTACTGTATGTAAACATCTGACTGAAACTGTTCTTCTCCTGTATAAATGTTTGAAAGATGAGAGCCTAACAAAATCATTTAGTTCCCTTTCAGTCAATTCACTTGGTACAACACAGCATGTATGGGAAACCACGCCCCTGCGTGTCCTGGCTGAAGCCACCTCTAATCACGTCTTTAGGCAGGTGACGTGATGACGACAGATGTCAGGCTCCGCCTACAYATATATATATACTGTCGCCATCACAGTCACTCCTTAGTTCTATTGCTCTTCACCTCGCAAGAACACCCACCTCTTCCAACCTAGCTAGTTAGCTGCTGCTAATTAGCTTTGTTTGTTCGAAGGTTCTCGGATTTAATTTAACGGCTTTTGTTGGTGTCAGCTGCAGCTGTCTACTAGTAACTGTGTCTGCCCGCAGAGCGCTAACTGTGAGAAACCTTTCTTACCTCGACGAAAGAGAGAATTTTGTGGTTCGGGATGAGCACAAAATTACTCAAGAAGAAGCAGAAGTCTTCAGTTCGCCCCTGTCCCCCGGGGTGCGGTTTCTCGCTTCACGAAAAGGACCAGCACGAGGCTTGCCCGGTCTGTTTGGGGATCGTCCACGCTCGTAGGGCGTTGGCAGAGCCCGAAGCGTGTGCATTTTGCCACCTGCTTCGACGCTCAACCCTGGAGAGACGGCTTAAGTTCTGAGAAAGTGCTGGGCGAGGCTGCAGTCGCGAGGCAGGACCCTCTCCTCTCAGAGTCTAGTAACCCGGTTCCGTCCGAGTCTGATGAGGAGGAGCCCTCGGTCGAAGTCCCCACTTCCAGCTGGGCAGACCAAGTGGAATATAAGGAGGGGTTAGCCGACGAAGAGGAGGAGGCCTCCCAGTTTCATCTGGACCTCCACCACGGAGGGGAGGACGTGCTGGATATCGGCCTGGATGTGCATGATCTGTCGGAAGACGACGATGAACCCGGTCCGAGCTCCAAGGAGCAGGCTACAGAGCATCTGTCTCAGGTTCTGTCGCACATTCAGGCTCTGGGTTTTTCTGTAAATTTTCAGAAAAGCTTATTGACTCTGAGTCAGCAGTTTTCTTTCCTCGGGTTAGAAATGTGCTCCCTGTCGGGCAGAGCGCGTCTCTCAGAAAACAGAGCAGCTGCGTTTCACCGCTGCCTCGCTCAGTTTCAACTGGGACGCAAACTGCGTTTTCAGATCATTCTGCAACTGTTAGGCATGATGGCCTCAATGATCACGGTAGTACCACTCGGGCTGCTAAAAATGCACCGGTTTCAGCGTTGGTCCCGCTCTCACCGGCTGTGTGCATTACGTCACCACCACAGAAAGCTAACGATACAGTAACTGCCTCATGCATGAAGGCTCTCAGTCCTTGGAGGGAACCCGGCCTGTTATGCCGAGGCTCACAGATAGGGAGAGTGTCCTTTCGCAAAGTGGTATCCACAGATGCCTCCTTGGTGGGGTGGGGGGCTCTGTGCGATGGTGCGGCAGTGAGGGGGGTTTGGACTCTGAAGCAGTCCAGACTCCACATAAACTGCCTGGAATTGTTAGCGGTTCTGTTAGCACTGAAACAGTTTTGTCCAGTTCTGCAGAACCAACATGTTCTGATCAGAACAGACAACACGACCGTAGTGTCATACATAAACAGACAGGGGGGAACACGGTCTCTTCCCCTGTTGGAACTGTCTCTCTCTCTCTTGCAGTGGTGCAGCGTGCATTTCCTGTCTATCAGGGCCACTCACGTTCCTGGGAGACTGAATCAGGGCCCAGATCTACTCTCCAGGGGCGGACCTATGGTGAGGGAGTGGAGGCTGCATCCCTCAGTGGTGGACCAAAGTAGGGCAGCAGTGGATCTCTTTGCCACAGGGGCCAACACCCACTGCCCTCTGTTCTTTTCCATAACGTATCATAACGCCCCACTGGGGGTGGACGCTCTAGCCCACCCATGGCCCAATATACTGCTGTATGCATTTCCTCCAGTAGAAATGATACTGCCTGTACTAGAGAGGGTGCGCAGACAGGGTCTGTCTCTGATTCTGGTGGCGCCCCATTGGCCAGCGAAGTCTTGGTACGCCAAGATAATCAGCCTGCAGGCTGCTCAGCCCTGGCAACCTCCTCTTCGCCTAGATCTCCTCTCTCAGGCGGGGGGGGAGATTTTTCACCCACACCCAGAGTTGTGGAGGTTGTACTAGAGAGGGTGCGCAGACAGGGTCTGTCTCTGATTCTGGTGGCGCCCCACTGGCCAGCGAAGTCCTGGTACGCCGAGATAATCAGCCTGCWGGCTGCTCAGCCCTGGCAACTTCCCCTCCGCCAAGATCTCCTCTCTCAGGCAGGGGGGGAGATTTTTCACCCACACCCAGAGTTGTGGAGGCTGCACACCTACCTGCTGAAAGGTCCTGCTTAYTAGCCAGGGGCCTTCCCCCGGCAGTGGTGGCAACTATCCAGAACGCGAGAGCGCCCTCCACTAGAGGTTTATATACCTACAAGTGGCACGCTTTCGAGCAGTGGTGTGAGGTTAGGCACATTGTCCCATTTCAGTGCTCTACGGTGGATGTTTTAAGATTGCTGCAGGAGCTGCTGGATAAAGGTCCGACTTTTTCCACAATTAAAGTCTACTCGGCAGCTATCTCTGCTTGCCATGTGGGTTTTGATGGAGTTACGCCCGGTGCTCATCCTCTAGCAGTGCGTTTTCTGAATGGGGTCCGTAGGCTGCGGCCTGTTATTAAACTCAGTATCCCTACCTGGGATCTTACTGTGGTGCTCGAGGCTCTCTGTGACCCCCCTTTTGAGCCCCTGGAGTCTGTGGATTTGAAGTTCCTTTCGTATAAAGTTGTGTTGCTTCTGGCACTAAAGGGCTCGACACATGGGAGGTGACGTCGCTCGCTCTCCATTCATTTCCTATGGAGCSTGTGCGGTGAGGCGACAATCGCTTGCCCTCCTCCAGCTAAGCGACCGGCGAAAATAGTACATGTGAAATTTCACGCTCGTACACGTACACGTGCACATGCGAGCTTGCGACGCGACATATGAAAGTTGAAAAATGTTCAACTTTTGTCGCTGTCGCTTAGCGTACAACCAATCAGCGAGGTTTTCATTGACTGACCAATGAGAGGAGAGTATGCTACACACTGCCGTTAGCTAACACTTTCACCAAGTGATTACTAAAAAGCTTTGTGGGAATTTATTGGCACCAGGGTGAAGTTTATGGTAAGTTTTTCCTCATAAAACTGTATCTTGATGTGTGTTTGTTTTTCAATATCATTAGCATCGCAAGATTTGTTTAGTTTACACATCCGTAATGCGTACCCACCTTCAGAGTCAAGAACCAATCAAATTTTGTGAAGACAAGCGACCTGAGAGCGCGATTCGCAACGCTGCGATCGCTATCGTGTCCCGTGTGTCGGGTTTCACCCTGGCTGCTATGACAGCCGTTAATTGCTGTAGTTTGTCGCTGCCCGTGTGTCGAGCCCTTAACAACTGTTAAACGGGTCGGGGATCTCCATGCTCTGTCTGTGAATCCCTCTTGTATTCAGTTTTCACCTGATGGCTCCAAGGTGGTTCTGCATCCAATCTCAGCGTATCTCCCTAAGGTGATACCTTCTAACTGCAGCTTCATGTCTATTGAGCTTTCTAGTTTTTATCCTCCCCCTTTTGCATCTGAGGAACAGAGGAGGTTACATTCTTTGTGTCCTCTATGTGTACTGCGTATTTACATTGATCGCACACAGGAGGTGAGGTCATGTGATCAGTTGTTTGTGTGTGTTTCTAACCCACTCAGGGGCAGAGCTCTGTCCAGACAGAGACTTTCCCACTGGATTGTGGAGGCTATCTCTTTAGCTTACAGCAGCAGGGGTCTCCCAGTCCCATCTGGTGTGAGAGCTCACTCCACCAGGGGTGTAGCAGCATCCTGGGCCCTATTTAAAGGGGTACCTGTGAGTGACATCTGTGCTGCGGCCAGCTGGTCTTCACCGCACACATTTGTTCAATTTTATCGCTTAGATGTGACAGCCCCTTTGGTGGCTCACTCTGTGCTCTCYGCTGGGTCTGAAGTGCTGCACTAGCATGTTATTATGACCCAAGTTTGGTGCTGCTCTGCGGGGCRTTTATATATGTCCCATACATGATGTGTTGTACCGAGTGAATTGACTGAAAGGGAACGTAATGTTATGCATATAACTACTGTTCCCTGAAGGAAAGGAACGAGGTACAACACATGGTGGCCCCGCTGCACAGCTGGGCTCGGTGAAGAGCAGTTACCGAACTAAGGAGCGACTGTGATGGCGACAGTATATATATGTGCAGGCGGAGCCTGACATATGTCGTCATCACGTCACCTGCCTAAAGACGTGATTAGAGGTGGCTTCAGCCAGGACACGCAGGAGCGTGGTTCCCATACATGATGTTGTACCTCGTTCCTTTCCTTCAGGGAACAGTAGTTATATGCTTAACATTACGTTTTGTTACCAATATTGTTTATAAATTTTAGAAACATCTTAATGTAATTCACAGTGATGGAATGTTTTAGCTGAAGTTTTTTTTTCTTCTTAAGTTTTATTGAACAGAATGTAACAGAAACATTACAAATATACAAGTTTCTCAAAAGAGTGGGCAGAAGCAAACATTTATATTATCCCACCTCTTCTCCTGTAAACTTATTCCATCACTTCTTAGTGATCAAGAAAATTATTCTTAGTTTCTTAAAAAACTAATGTATCCAACAACACTTTCTCTTGCAATTCCTTTTGTTTAAACCCTTTAAAACTTGAGACAGTTTTGTTTCAAGATTAAACTCCAATTTACAAGTTTGCCCTTAATATTTATAATTTTACCAATGCACCAACTTAGAATTATTTCTACTATTTACAGAATTATTTCCTTTAAGAATGTCTTTTATATCAAAGTAAATGTGTTACTGCATGATGTCCTTAAAGTGCCTGCGACATGCATATCCATGAAATACAAAAAGTAAAAGAAAATATGTTAATTTTTAAGAAACTTTGCATAACACACATGATTTGACACGTTATGTCACATAATTGGCATATTTTCTTTTGAATTTTGCTTAGCTTAAGTGAAACAGGAAGTGACATCAAAGGGGAACTTTTTGAGAAAGAAAACTCCCTGGTTTTTGTTCATTGAAACGTTATTTGAATTACGACTTTCTCATTCCTCTGACACTGATTAAAATAATCTAAAGAAACATCTGATTCTTCTACCGTACAATAGACCGTACAATTCATCATATTAATATGTCAAACAGCCAGTATTTTCATCCAAAAGCATTTCAATTTATCAAAAAATGTATTTTTCTAAAATGTACCAGTACTCCACAATCTACCCATTCGGAGACCTGCCTTCAAATTAATTTCTGATTTAAAAATCCTTCTTCTTAATATGTTATTGTTTTACTCTGCCCTCCCCATTTTTATCTAGATATTATTTACTTGTTTTATTTTTCGGATTGTACAGTATTGATACTTTGATGGTTGTATAGCTAATTTAGAAATCAACCAAACTGAATCATGAATCRAATCGAATCGAATTGAATCGGGCCACTGTGAATCGAATCGAATCAATTTGAGCAATCTGAATCGATACCCAGCCCTACTTTTCAGCGATGGGGAAGAACCATAGCTGTAAATATGACTGAGCACAATCGGCATTGTGTAAAATCTTTAGTCTTAAATTTCAGGAGGCTTTGGAGGTTCATGCCAGAGATAGACCAGCAAGTGTCTTATCAACAGAATCTCCTATTTCCTCAACGAAGCCAATACAGTTGGAGGAAATAAGTAAGTTGTTTAACTCTGTAACATTATGTTCAACATTGGTTTTAAAAGTCATCTATGTAGATTTGTAAGAACATTTCTGTGGTGTCTCAGTGGTGGTGAATCCAAAGACGGTGGAGGAGAAGATGTCTCAACTGGAGTCTTCGCTGCTGAACGATCTGAGCGTTTTCAAACACAGACAGGTCATCCATCCTGTGCTGCAGGAGGGTGAGTTTATCTTAACACATGGGAAAACAACAGAAATATATACTCTGTGTCTGATTTGTTGTGTTGGTCTTCAGTTGGCTTGAAGTTGAGTTCTTTAGACCCCACTGTGCACGTTGACTTGAACTATCTGGGGGTTCATCTGCCTCTACCTTCTCCAGTCCTAAGTGAAGAAAGCAGTACAGCTCCATCTCCTGCTGGTGAGTTGGACTGTTTTTGACTGTTGTAGACCTGATTCAAGTTTTTGATAGATTTTTCTGTGTCACATCATGCAAAGATTTGTGAATCAAAAAAGATGTGACTTTTCCACTTTTGCCCTTTAAACAGCTTCTCCTTTTTGTTTTACATTATTTCTTTTTAAAGGGGCAATATTATGTGTTTCTCAGGCATTAATTTAAATAATWTGCATAAAGTATCTATGTCACCTTTAGCTGTTATTAAAATGCTGTTTTTATTATTAAACAGAAAATAAACTTATCTCCTCATCACTTCCTCTTCTAAACGCCTTGAAATTG